GCAGCAGCAGCAGCAGCAGCAGCAGCAGCAGCAGTTCCGCAGTCAGCAGCACAGCGGCATTTGCATGGGAAGGGGTCAGGCCGCGGCGCGATTAAATCGAGACCGGCCGCGGGCCGGGAAGGCGTGCGCGCGCGAGCGCGGATGGGATCGAGCCGCGCCGAGCCTTGTCGACAGTCGTGTCGTGCACGCACGCACGCACGCACGCACATCATCAGCAGCAAGAAACACCGCATTCGTCATTTGGCGTGGAGGGTGGATGCCATGCATATGGTGCTGCATGGAGAGATCCTATTATAGGAGATACATCATGATGCGCGTGCTGAGCTGAGGTATAGGCCGCGGTCAGAAGGATCCCATGCTGCTGAAGGGAGCGCGATGTGATGTGCCTTTATTCTCTTCCGGCCCCTTTCAGGCACCGCCTTATCGCACTCGAGGCAGGCTCTCTATACACAGCGAGGGTTTTGAGAACATGCAGGCATGCATGATGTCGAGCTAGCCTTCCTCTCTTTGCCTGCACGCCGCTTTATCTTTTGGCTGATGATGTGGGAAGCCACACATCAAAGCTGGATTACTCACAACTACCATTTGAAATAAAGTGAAGTCAAGGGTCATCCCACTTATCTCATACTTGGTATGAAATCAAGAATATCATCGCTCGACTCTGCTGGCGTGTATAAAGACTTAGGCTCAAGACTTAAAGCTGGAATTTTATATTTCAAATTTCACTGATTTTGACCTCGACTCAATCAAGAACGGAAGGGTTCTTCACAGCCACACGACTGCGTTCAAGAATCAAGTCGAAAGTCTAGTGTTTCGACGGCTCCTCTTTCATTCCAGAGTCCTGCTTCTTGATTGCTCAAGACTCGGGTTGCGGGGAGGCTTAAGGGGAGTCTGAATTCAGGAACGGACTCAGCACGCAGCATTCAAGAGGTTCTCCGCCGCGTCTCTAGCATTTGAGTCGCAAGTCACAGTGTGGAGTCAAGCGTCCATCTAGTGGAGACCACAACAAGGAACCAGGCCGCTCGCACGTCTTTGGCCACCAATCCATATCGTGCCTTTGGCTTTGAGAAACACGTGCGGTCGAGCAACGAATCGGAAGCAAGCTTTCGAGTAGGAGCAATGCCTGCCATTCACCGCGAAATGTCTGACCGCAAGGCGCCAAGGCAGGTGGCAGGAGCATCGACTCGGAGTGCTGCACATGTTCAAGGCAGACTACCTTCAGCTACCTCTTCTCTGCGCGTTCAGCTTCCTTCGACATCAAGCGATCAGCAAGATCGACGAGCTTCGAGCTCATCATCGACGCGCCTCGCTGCGCAGCAATCACAATCTGAACACGATCAGGGCCAGTCGGACGCGGCAGTGCTTACCTCCTCCATCCTTGCAGCTCAGGTAGAAGCGCGTTCCCAACTCTACACGCACGAGAAGCTGGTAGATGGAGTCTCTTCAGACATCCTACGACAAATGCTCACCGTCGGACGTCGGTTCGTTCTACCAGACGATCAGAGCGACTCCACGAATGAAGAACCTCCGGAAGGCAATTCTGGAAAGATTATCCGTTCCCTCTTCTTGGCGGTCTTGGAAGAGAGGCACTCCTTGGAACTCTGCGCTTATCCAGCTTGCAGATCCTCACCGTGTCGTCCACGCCGCTCAGCTGACAAGCATGGCTCTTCGTCTCGCTCTGCATCATCGTACCGCATCAACCGGCACACGCACTCTATTGAGCCCGAAACGAGACTCGAAGTGGGAGGAGCGTGGACCTTCTGCTCGGATGCTTGTTGGGCGAGAGCTACGTGGATCACGCGCTGGATACTCGGCGATGATGGACACGATCAGCCTTCCGGTCAGCCATCCACCTTGCTGTTCGGCGGCAATGCGAGCGGTGGCAGGTGGGAAGTCTCTGATGATACCCAGCAAAGTATAGAGTTGCTCGAGGATCTGGAAGCAAGAGGCGAAGTGCAGTTGCTCGCGGGCCAGTCTAGCAGCTCGGATCGTACTGTGCCCATACAGCGACAAGAGACCAACCCGTCAGAATCGCCCTCAACCGGAGAGGCACGAGAAGCGGATAGACTCGTGCGCAGCAATACGGCTCGCAACGCAAGTGCCAATGCGCTCGCAGCTCGAGCAACAGCCACTCCACCTCCTCCGCGCTCTGACAGACCACGTAACCCGAAATTGCCAAGAGGAATGTCCACCGTACGAGGAGCACTACCAAAGGGCCGTGCAGGCAGAACAACAGCTTCAGAGACGACAGCAACAGGCGCATCGACCGCTGCTAGAAGCAGCAAAGGCGAAGATGCGGCACGTGTCCTGCCGCAAGCCTCTGAGAGTGTTCAAGATATACGCTCGCCGACCACACGAGCCTCGCGATGTCCCATCTCTGAGAGACCCGAATCTACACTGCTGCTGGTCAGCCGCAATGAAGCCAAGGACGTCGCTTCCATATTTGGCGATCTTCGCATAGTAGAGCGTGGGCGGGATTCGCAAGAAGCTACGGTCGGATCGTGCCAGCACCTACCAGTGTCCGACGGGGAGGGTAAGGGTGGAGCGGGTGACGAAGCTCAAGAGGCTCTGCAGGGCGCAACGCGTCCTTCCAGGGTACGAGCGCAGGAAGAGGAGGAAGAGGAGCTGGACAAAATGTTGGCCAGCCAAAGAGCGGAGGAAGAACGAGGCGCTTTGAGCGGGCAGACCAGCGAGGATTTGTGGGACTTCGCAAAGCTGGCTCGCAAACAGATGAATGAGGAATCCAAAACGGAAGCCGTTCCGTAGACAAGTGCGCAAGCCTCACTGCAAGATGAAATTGTGAATGCATCAGTCGCTTCCGTCCAAGTGTGCGCAAAGTGCAGCCTCGATGAGCTACGGTCATCACATTTACATAAGAGGGACCGTGCACAGAATCGATGTCTCAGGTGTGACGTGTGCGCCCCGAGGGTGACCGCGCGATGCCTGACACTTACGTTGCGACCTCGCTAAGCACAGTGACAATTCACGACTCGAGCCGTTCAAGTGTGTGGAGCACAGTATAGCATTGCGTGTGACGACAGTGGCCCCCGCTGAAAATGGACTGACATAAAAAAAAGCCCGCCGTCTCCGAAGAGACGACGGGCAGAAGGTGTCTTTGAATGACGGTACTACTCTTTGAATGGTCATGAGAAGTAGTGGTAATAGTCTGGGGTGCCAGTGATTATTAAAAAATGGCCAAAAAAAAAAAGCCAAAAAATAAAGGGCAAACCTTTTTATTTTGGAGACGAAAAAGTCAAAGGGTTTGAAACCCAGCATAAAGGGGGAACAGTCCAACCTCTTAATGTTGAGAGGCGTCGGAGTGAGACTGCTTTGTCGAGATTGTCGAGTTGTTGTAATGCCACGTCGTGTCGAATAGAGGAAGAAAGAAACAAGCGATACAAATACAATGGCCCACCAAGGATCGGGAGAAACCGCGAATTATGGGGAATTGCCATGCCGAATCCACGAAACCAAAAGCCGAATCCGATCCTCCCTCTGCGCTTCCTCTCTCCCG